AAAATTTAAGACAAGCACAATTAAGACAAGCAGGAATAGAAGCAGGAACATCAGCAGGGACAATGCCTATTGTTTCAGCTGCTTTTCAAACACCTGCCGAAGTGTATGAAGCAATGGATGATGGTGATGAGATGACAACTGAAGAAGCAACAAGAATAAGGACAGAAATGGAAAGATATTTACAACGACAACGAGAAGCACAACAAGCATCGGCGTCATCAGCAAGAAGTGATCTAGATGAAGCACATAGACAATCTTTACCAGCAGGAGTTGATTTTCATAGAACGAATACAGGAGGGACTGATGATATGCCACCGTTAGTTAATATAGAGGAAGGAGAAGAAGAGGAAGACTTTGAATTAATACCAGCAGATGATGAAGACGAAACAAAAGCACCAGCCCAAGCAAGAAAACACAAAGAAACTATAGATTATTCAACAAAAATAACGAAATGGCAAGATAAAAGCGTTCAAGAAGATGATATAAGATTTCAATTATTTTTAAGAGGTATAGAATTAACACCTGAACAAGAAGAAGAAATATCAAAACTTAAAGTAAAAGGTAAGGGACGAAATCAAACAAGAAAGGATTATTTAATAAATTATGTTGATAGATTAATTCAAACGGGAAAATGGACAGACCAAGTAATTGACCAATTATTACAAACAAGAATGATAGAATGGCGAGAGATGAAGAAAGGAAAAGGTAAAGGTAGTTCATCAAGTTCAGGAGGTATAGGTTCTGCTATTGTAAGTGGAGCAAAAGAAATAGGAGGTGCTGTTTTAGAAGCAGGAAAAGAAGCAGTTAAAGAAGCAGTTGTAGCAGGAGCAAGAAGTGCTGTTATGCGTATAATATAGATTATTCAATTTGAAAAATTGAATAATTTATTAAGTTATTTATGATAACTTAACAATCTATTTAATAGTATATGCTAAAACTACGCCCAAGATTTGAACAAATTGAAAGAGAAGCGAGAACACACAGACTAAAAATATTACCAGAAAAGCAGAAGAGAACACAACAACGTTTATTATTAGATGATGTTAATTTTGATGATTTTGATTTAGATAAGTACAATATAAGAAACCCTAACAAATCAACACAAACTGATATGTTTAATGAGCCGAGTGATTACTCAAGCGCTACATCAAACAGAAGTGTTAAAACAGGAATAGAAGGCAATGAAGATAAACAACAAGATAGACAAACAAGCACATCAACAGGGGAAAGTATGGATGATGTAAGGTATAGAACAAGAATGTCAATAGCCGATGATTTAGCAACAATGGCAAGAATAGGAGGAAATATTATTTACTATACAGGTCAAGGAATAGGACAGGGTATAAATATGGCAGTTGATGCTTATAATTGGATTAATGAAGATAATGAAGAAGATGAAGATGAAGAACCTGAGCCACCGGTTGATGAACAAGTATTCACGCAAACGCAAGGTTTATTAAGGAGGGGAGCAAGTCGCGACATTATGGAATACAACAAGGCGACTGTGCGTTGTGATGTGTGCGACTGTGATGTTCAAAGGATTAATGTATCACGACATAACAAAACCAAGAAGCACAT